GTATCTCGAGATTTTGAGGCATCGCCAACGGACGGAGGGGCCAAGTAGGAAGTCATATCACAGGCGGAGAGTTGCGACTGAGGGGAGGCTCATCCAGCACAGTCATCGAGTTCCTATGTAAGTGTGTTGTCCGGTCAAGATAGTTGACAGAGCAAAGTTACGGAATCCGACAACCCTCATCCAGCCGAGAAAGGTGGGGGTCAACGATCCGCGTCTGGACTAACCGCAACACCACATGAACAAACGGCATTTGGGGCTGCGCTAAGATTCAATGTACACAAGTCTACACTTGGGGAAGGATCGAAAGGAAAGCGAGCCTGAGCAGTGGCAAAGGAAAACGAAAGTCGAGAGAACGAGTGCTTACCCACGATTGGTTCGGTTTCGAGTTGGAAAGCTTCCGACAGGCCAAGTGCCAGCGTCACTATCCAGAGCAAAACGAATTCCGGTACTGGGAGTCGAACCCAGATCCCTGCTGCGCCAATTTTGAGAGAGCAGTATGATAACCGCTACACCATACCGGAGGACGGAGAATACTCATGAGAGATTAGGATAGATCAGACTCTACTAAAGTGCGAGGAAATATAGGATCAAAGCAAAGCACCGACGAAAAGAATGGCCCTGAGACACTGGCTGTGGTAAAAATGTAGACCAACTGGCCCAGGAGCCAAAAACAACAATACAGCCTGGAAAGGGAGAACGTATTCAACACAATGATGACAGAAATTAAGCCAAGAACCCTAAGTCAAACGAGTAGCCATCCGAAACGTGCTCCGACCGTCATACAGGCTGCCCAGAGTACGGTGGTCCTTGTATTATTCCCCCATTGAGCCCGACGACATTTCCAGAGGCCCCCATTACCATAAACGGAGTGTTGAACACTGGATCACTTGCTATGATCGGGGGACCGGCTACTGTAAACGCTAGCGGTGCCGCAGCACCTGTAGCTGCATTAGGGGCTGAAGAGTTGCCCGTCGTTGCTCCATACGGCCCCGAATACATATCAGGCGTTGCGGTCATTCCAACTGGACCTGAGTTCGTCGCGGCAAGGGATGTGTTGCTGTTTGTGGATGGTCCGGAAGGCGGGTACTGGTATGGACCATTTGTCCCCATCAGGATCAAGTTATTGTGCGGTAGAGCTCCCGGACCACCCATCGCCATGCTCAAGCTATTGCTTCTCGATACAGCATAAGGGGGGACAGTGAATTCGGACCCCATGACCCCTGAAAAGCTTGAGGATGTCGGGGACTGAGCAGGTGCTGAGGTGAACGCCAAAGGTGCGGATGAGGTAGACGGACCGAGCGGGAACACCGACGTCGAGGGCGTTCCGACTGAGGTCGCCGCTGAAGCGGAAGCCCGATAAGAGCTGTAGCTAGATGGACCAGAAACTGAAGGTGCTCCTAGTACCCCAGCTAACGCACTCGTGCTCGGGCTGGCTGGCGAATAGGACGCCTCGAAGGGAAGCGTCCCCCCGACGCTCGTGCCAGTAGCTACGCCGGGAAGCTTTCTAACTCCCAGACCTCCAATGCCCCCATTTCCCATGCTATTCCAAAAGCTTTCGTATGATGTGGGTCCACTGCTCTTGCCCGTCGTTTGGGTTCCTGCGTTGGGTGTTAGGGCGCTTGGGACCTTGTATGCAGTTGTGTTTTCTGCGGTCTGAGGTGGGTGGAGGGTGCTTGGAGTAGATGTATTTTTGTTGGTTGTTTTGGTGAGGTGTTTAGTTGGTGATCCGGGTATGGATGTGGTTCCAGTAGGCTGACGGGCTTTCGTTGGGGACTTCGTTGGACTACGAGAAAATGGCGTGCTCGGACCGGACTTCGCGACATGAGTATGCTGAGATCCAGAGCGAGACAAGGACGTTGCTGGGGTCGGGACTAGATGGGGTGACGTACTGGACCTATTCGTCATTGGATGTGATGGCGTTGACGATGTTGAAGGCATTGGATATGGTCTTGGTCTATTAGCCTGACGTGACGACTGTTCCGTATCCCTAGGGGATAACACTCGTTCGGAGAGAGGGATCGCTAGAGCGGAGGTCGACACATCCTGGGTTTGGGTTTGGGTTGGTGACGTTGAAGAATTCGAGGTGGTTGGGTCTGGAGGGTGTGTCGACAAATTGGCCGAAGGTGCAGACGACCCAGAAGATCCCGTCGCAGAGGTTGTAGCGACATCTACCTTGGTGCTTGATGTGCTTGCCCCATCCTTGGCATCAGATGTAGCGGGATTCTCGGCACTTATGGAAACATGGGACGCAGTATTGGAGGATTTACTAGAGGTGGCGGACAGTCCAGATGGGCCAGGGATGGGATTTGTTGCTTTGGCTGAGATAGATGGGGCACCGGTACCACGCCGCGGAATAGAGGGAACAGGTGGTCGAGAGTTTCGGTAGTGGTGGAAGTACAGGTTTTCGACTTCGTTTAAATTCTGACGGGCCTGGGTGTGACATCAGCGTTATCAACGACAACCGGCAATTCTAAAGGAGCAGTAGCAGCGGGCATCGGGGGTAGGGCAGGGGTGTTCAAGAGGAGGGAAGCTTTCGCTTGACTTACCCATCCATGGTCCACCTTCAGCTTTGCATACCGTAACCGCATTGCGAGTTGCCTCGTCAACTTTGGCCACAACGAAGCACCCAGAAGAGTGGTAGATTCCATCAGTTCGTCAATACTCAGTTGTAGGACACTCCCGTAGCGGTGCTCACCTGTTGCAATTTGGCCTTCTCCACATGCTTACTCCTCTTCGAATGACCGCCTTCTCCAGCAACTGATCTTGACACCTCTTGCGCCAGAGCACTGAGATCCGCGGATGTATTAAGAACGGTGGTCGATGTCGACTTGGGCGACATGGATGACTAGGGAGGACGGGAGGACGGCGCTGCGACGGGGCGTGGAGAACGCAAATGATGTCCGCCTCGCGAATGCATCACGTGCCATCACCACCTTTTTTCGATTCCGCTTCCGAACCCCTCTTCGGGGAATTGCTGTCCCTTTCTCTCCGGGACTGTCACACCATCGACAAACGCTATACCTCAAGTTCGAAATGGTCCGATAATGCGATAATCTTATCACTATGTAGAGCCCAAATCAAAGCCGATCCTCGTTGCCTGATTTCGATCGCGACAAGCTAGATCGACTCGCGGGCTAGAAACCCATGTCATCCAATACGTGAAACATACTTCTACCTCCCTTCAACGTATCCATTATATCAGACAATTCCACCCGTTGAGGCGGCGTCAGCTGGGCACTGGAATGTAAACAAGTTAGTTCACTCACTCGACCAGTTCATCTTTCACTGTACTCACTAATACGTATCCGCAACAAGCCTGGCATTGGTAATCGCCCTGACAAGTCCACGCTTGGGGTGTAAGTTGATGCCTTTCGGCCCGAGCGATCCGCGAGCAGTCTCCACGAAGTTCTCGAGTTGCTCCTTCGTGTGCTCTGGGTTCGGGAATTGGGCACTACAAGAAGGCACAGCGATTATCGGAAGGAGCCATATGATGTTGGGATATGACATACAAGTTGGCGTCGACCTCAGAAATAGCTTCCAGCCACGATCGTTGCGTTGAATCGCGAGGGACATCACCAATCAAGCGCACGTCCGTCTTGAAATTCAATCGAGCTTTTATTGAGTGGCTGAATAAGAAGGCTTCACCCGTCAGATGTCGAATATGGTGGTACTGCGTTCCACTGATGAGGCTCACCTAGCCGAGTTTTGCTGCCCCACGTCACCGAGTTCAGGAGCTGCTAGCGTAGGGAGAGCGACAGCCACAAAGAAAAAGGCCACGGAAAAGTGCATTCTGGCTCGAGTGTTGAGCTAGCTAACAGAATGGTGTTGACGAAGGATTTTGAAAAGCGAGAAGCCTTTATCCTTTACTTACGGGGCCCAGCGTCCTGCAATAGGCGAGGTCTATTCAGAGAAGCAAACGTCGCTTATTTAGAACGTATGCGATCGTTGAGCCCGATTTCCATGATGATGGGCGAGAGCAGGGAATAAGTATGGTACAACGCGCTCGGCTCGTCGCATATGTGCAGGCCAAGGGTAAGTCGTTCGCGTCGCCAGCTATCCATGGCGGAAGGCTCCAGTATCATAGGTTGCGGAGAAACCAGGGCGGAGGTAAACCAGGGCGAAGATGCAGAGCGAATAAAGGCCACAATCGAGACGCAGGGCGCCTGTTCGTATATTATGATTGCGAGGTGCAAGTAATGAATGGGGTGGATACGCGTATCTGGGTGGGACCTAGTAGCCGAATTCGTCCAATGCGTCGAGCGCGCTTTCAGGGCTGCCAGGAATATCTGCCAATATGCCAGAAAGGGTCTTTTTCTGTTGATTTGTGAACTTTTCACTATTGTAAGTCCTAGTCAGTCCATTGCGTAGGGCGACTGGCTGGGCGTGTACTGACAAATATGGGTCAGCATACAGCCTAGCTTTGGTGATTGCCCTGACAAGTCCAGCTGAATCCAAGATGGCGACATCTTGTTGCTCTTGGAGGTAACTGTCAGCCGTTCTCACAAACTTGTCCAAGTTGTCTTTGGCCTTCTGAACATCTACAAAGGCCTCACTAAAGCAACTACTTCTTCAGCATGGCTCACCCTGAGAGGAGAGGAAAACGTACAAGTCGGAATCAAAGTTCGATATGGTTTCTAACCACCTAGCCCGGATCGGGTCCACGGGAATGTCACCGATAAGCCGCCTCCAGGCGTCATTTACTTTGAAGTTCAAGCGAGCTTTGAGGGGATGACTAAAAAGAGATATTGTCAAAGGCCGGCACACCCAGGAACGGAGAGGACACCATACGTACTTGGCGGATTCAACCTCGTGGAGGGTAGGTACCGCGAAGGCAGGGACGGCAGTGACAAGAGCGAGCAAGGCAACGGAGAAACGCATAATAGACGGTATGGGCTATTGAATGATTAGGTGTTGGGTTGTAGATGGATAGGATTCTGACGATGGGACTCGAAAAAGGTGGTTGGAGCGAGCCTTATATAGATCTCAAGCAAGTCCCAAACCCAAAACTTTTGAGACAGCAAAGGAGTTGTCGAGTGATAAACTCGCGTGAATATCATCAAGAACGTACGCCCAACAACCGGCATCTTTTGACGACTAACACCAGGGGATGCTCGGTTCGTCGGTTACAGGACGCGAGGGTGCCAGTAAGCTGTTAGCTTTCTTCCTGATCGGGCAAAGCATTGAAAAGCAAGCCAAGTATCCCTGTTTGAGTCGATGAGGAAAAAACGGCATTGTTGCGGTGAATGGCTGCGACGGGTCTACGCGGGGACAAGGCTAGGTCTGAGGTTTCGCGTTGTAGCGGCAGACAGGAGAAAAAAAGAGTATCGGTTTCATCAAAAATGGGGAGTTGCCCTCCAGAAATTCCGAAGGGGATTGTTACGCCCTGGATACGGCTGGTGGTACGCGAAGCTCGCGATGGTCGAGGAAACATCACGTGACATCGGTCCAACTCACAACGGAAATAGGACGGACAAAGGTCCGGATTGACAAAATCTCTCCGCAAGGTATTCCAACGAAACTC